CGCTTTAACCTTATCTAGTTTGACACCACAATTGTATTGGCGCAGCCCGACTGGAAGATATAAATTGAAGTCATGGTTGTAATGGGAATACTTCAGTTGCACTATTAACCTTCTGATCTTTATAAGTATTCCAATATTTATTTATTTATATTAAATGGCAGGCGTTTTGATAGTTATCATTAGTTCTTCAGTTGACTTCAGGCTTCACAGAGGGGAAGGAACATCAGGGAGAAAAAAGTCGAGAATGAGGAGGGGAACAGAAGAGTGTTTTAAAGATGTAAAAGAGACAGGCACTAAGGGAGATGAAAGGTGAGATGAGTACTGGCGAAGTAGTCGAATAAGACATACAGTGGGGTGGTGGTAGTTTGAAGTCAGTAGTCAACTGTCGGTTAGTAACCTTCTTTGCCGCATGGAATGCACCATGTGGAGGTAAGTCTATCGCACACCCCGTATTCCAATATCAAGTCTATGCTTGTTCGTATTATATAAGATTGTAATAGAAGTGGCCTTGAGGTATCATATCTTTCTAACTAAAGGTAAGACCTTATTACAAAATAGTCACCTGACTTGCTTGTCAAAACTGTCAAACCTATTTCAACAAGCCATTGATATATCTCGCAACATTTGACGTGGTATACTCTTGTTTTTCCCCTTATCCTCAAGCCACAAGGTGGAATTGAAGAAGGTGGAGGCGAAAGCTGTTGCTGGAGAGAAAATTAAGCGGGAGCGCTGGGAAGCAGCCAAAATCAAGACCATTAAGGCAAGTTACCAGTTCATTAGTTTATTTAAACAAGGAAGATTGGTTTTAAAGGAGGGAGGGGGAGGGGGAGGGGGGTGGGGGCAATTAACACCTAAAGCAGACTGGTCTCTGAAGCACCCCAAGCATTAATAATATTTGTTGCAAGACCTTTGGCTTGCCTTTAGTCCCACTGTCAGTAACTTTATCCTATTTGCGTCTCTATTGAAAGAGTAGAACAGAGGTTTGTCGAAATGTGCTCATCTCCCAGAATTTGGATTTAACGGGATTAAAGTACTTAATAGTCTTCTTCTTTCCAGTTTGACTTCAATTTTGGGATTTTCAAATTAAGCTCAACTTACGGCTTTTCTGTCTGGTAGTATTGCAATTATATATTATGCTTCATAATCCCATCTGCAACTCAGAGATGGAATGTTGAAGTAAATTGGACGTGAATAAATTTACCATTGGCTTGAAAGAGCTTAATTGGTTAGATTTGTTATCACACCAATGCAAAGATGATAGTCCAGTAGTATCCTTCTTTAATAAAAACGGCGATCATTTCAGATTCATTAACAAAAGAGCTAGTGACGCGTGGTTTGGGCGAAAGGGGGGATCTTTGCGCCGTTTTTACGGCAAAACAACATTCTATTAGTTCTTCCACAAATCGAAATTAAGTGGGGGTGTTGGCCATCATTCTCATTTTCTAGTCGCGAAATTGATTTCCCCGCCACTGGCATGAGGTTAAGGCTCAGTGACGCCTCGAAGGCAAAAAAAATTCATGAGAAATTTGCTACAATTTTTTATTACCATAATTAGTTTCTTATTTCTTACAAATCGGTGAAAGTTTCGAATACAATATTGATTGGGGGGGGGATTTATTCATTTGTACTATTAACGATTAGGAAAATGGAACTTCCGGTCTGCAAAACGGTTCCGATTTTTGGGACTTCCGTGCTAATCGTTTGATCTGAATTGGGGATATGCTAAGAAATTGAGGATCTTCACAAAACGTGATCACCAAATACACTGGTAACTGTTCAATTACCTTTATCAGTACAGTTAGCTCAAAGACTTCATGTGTAAAATTGAGCAAGCAGGGCCAACTCTCAAGGTGATTGGGTGTTTGAAATGGCGAATGGTGGCTAATAGTCTGAATGTAACCCTCAGTTTGCAATTCTAATACGAAAGCTTAAAACGAATAGATATAGACTCCAAATGTAACTGTTTTTCAATGTAAATCATTTCTTGCCAATTATGCAAATGAAGCAAAATACATTTTAAGAGAATCATTTTAGGTAAATCTTTACCCACAATTCTTGCAAGTAGGAAAAACGTTGTTTCAAATCATTCAAACTGGAATAATTTACAACGTTTTTCATTTTTCTCCAAGGCAAACTTTTTAGAGCCAATAAAATTTTATGTAAAGTAAATAATTTTTAACCAAATTAAAATAGTTGTTCTTCCACTTTTTTGCCTTTATTCCTTATTACCTTTATTTAACATAATCGTTGCATTAAAATATTAAATCTTGCCTGAATCGCGGTTTTTTGCTTCTAAATATGCTTTCGGGGTTTCAATTCAGCAATAATTTAGTGATTTACAACTGGAGTTGGACAGAATCGCAAGCCTTCGACTGAGCTATTTGGAAGTTACTAACTTCTGCACCCAATTAGGACATTCATTTTCCAGCACACATCGCGAGTAGACTACTAGCCATTTAATTCCCGAATTATTTATTGAAAAAATGCCCCCAACCTCACTAACACGTGTCTCACAGCAGAATGATGCCGCCGACATGATGAATTTTGGTGGTATCAGGCGAAGGCTACATGTCTAGTACCAAGGGAGGTTATTTTGAAAGAGGACCGTACGGTTCCAAGTCCGTTAGAGTATTAACGGAATAGAACTTTGTAACCTCCATTTATTGGTAGTTTCGCTCAACGAATGTTCACCGATGGGCATCGAAGCTCTGTTCCATTGGCCTACACGGTGAGGAATGAAGTCATTAGCCACTGGTCTTTCGTGTTCACAACTTGAAATATAGTTACCACAATGCTATATTACCGGCTGACCAGATTCCCAAGCATTCTCTTTCATCCAGCTAACACACCAGTGTAGCAGAGAGGAGAGGAGCCTTCATTTAGCCGCTGGTCTTCCTACTTCTTCCTCTGAATCCTATTATGTACCTCAGTGAGCAGTCTAGTTTGTGCAAGATTCGGCAACTGGTTCTGTTGATATCTAGAATCAAGAGATGAACCTGTGTACTAGATTAGAAAAGTACACCATTTGTGAGGAGGGGTAATGTTCAGGAGTGGACGGCAACTCAATCTGCATCACTTTAGCTGATGAACAACTATACAATTTTTATGCTTTATCTGATTAAGTTCAACTAATGATCAAAAAAGACTCAAAATGACCCATTAGGCAATATGTTTTGAATGGGGGTTTATGCGTAATACTAATCCCTGCTGCGGTACTTAACCTTACTTGACGCTGCACAGTTAGATGCTTTTCTCGAAGATTCGTATTGATATATTAAATTCCTCTTGGATCAGCGTTGGGCAAGACGAACTTGGTTGTCTGTGGAAAATGAATTTCTGATCAGTTATAAGAAAGTTTGTTTGAATGAAATTTGTTTTACAATATGATCACCAAAAGAAATGGCATGTCAGCCATTAATGACAATAAAAGAAATTTCTAGCAATCACGCAATGTCAATGCATATTTGTGTTCAGGAGCAGACTGCAAAAAGTGTGGAACGCGATATTCAACGCATGACACTAAACCACAAGGAGGAAATAGAAGAGTTGAAACGCTTTTATAAAGAACAACTTGAAGGAGCTGACACCCGTGCCTCTGAACAGTACTTTCAAAAGATGGAGGAGATGCGAATGAAATTCAACAAGGATCGAGAAGAGATTTGTGCTCAGGAAAGAAGGTTGGTGGCAGAGAGGTAAGTCTATTTTACGACCAACAGACTCTACACTGTGTCCACTACACTTATTCAAGGCACAGAGTAAATTCAAGCTGTCTAATTAAACTATAATGCGATAAGCTTGGTCACCTTCATAGTTTCTGGTTTTATGATGGCGTTTTGTTAACCAAGTAACAACAACGAAAGGAATAGTTTGGGTGTGTCTGGGAAGTGCCCCCTATTGGGTTGGTGGAAATATTACATTTACATACAAATAGGCCTTCTCGAGACGTCAGATATATCTGTCCATATCTTCTGTGGTGTTTAGTAGTTGTGTGGTGTCCATTTACACACTAGAGTCATCTAAATAGGATGCTGCCGCTGCTGTCATTAATCGATATCCACCATCTCTATTGATTTTTAGTTTGATAATTTACTATTTGTGGAATAATTAGTGAAAGTAAAGCAGTGAGAAATGATGAATTAGTTAATCATCCAAATGTAATCTGCAAAAAAATGCAGTTGAAACACTATTCTGTATCCACTATTATGGTCTAGGCTGTTTGGTCTCTATGCAAATTAGAATGGAATTTGTAAACTCGGTATTCATGAATTAATTCTACATAAATTAATTATTAGTGTTATTTCGGATACCGAAGGTATGAAAATGATCACACCTTGGGTTCCAACCACAGGGTAATACGATGACCCTAATCAATTACTTTTGACACTTTCCTGTCAAAATGCTTGCATGCATTTCGATTCTGAAAAACAAAGTTTTACTAAGTAAATCATTTGTTCTCTTTAAATGCAATAGATCATTTTTTTGAGCAATTAAAATGTTCAGCTTAGTCATTCCTCTTACATCTGGTCATGGCTCCATGGTAAACTATTAAAAGATCATAACCTTGACCCATTTAAAGTACACTCTTGGCCTTTTATATTGTTTTGCTCTTCACACAATAAATTCATCCACTGGCCTCCTGATCTTTTACTAGCAACCAGATGGTTCACTCCGCTAACTCTGAAGCTTTTAGAGGTCAAATTCACGTCATGTTAACGATGTCCACAAGACTTAGACACCCGATTGGGGGGATTTTAGGTAGCTGAAATAGAAATGTCTGTGCTGTGCACTATTTTAGGGCTTCAAAATACCCAGTCTATAATTTTAAACTGGAATCGTAGTGGCCGAGTAACATTAACCTTTCTGAATCTATTAATGACTTAGTCACCACATTGTACCAAACTTTGGAACACCTTTAGAGGATTTGAATAAACCAAGCCACTAACATAGATAATCTAGTATGAAGGGCGACTAGAAACCACATTTAGGTGCTGATTCAAAATTTATTAATTTATTAACTTATTTCAAATGGCAGGCGTTATGATAGGTATCATTAGCCCTTTAGTTGACTTCGTGCTTTACAGAAAGAGGAACACCAAAGTGGCAAAAAGTCGAGAGGGGAGACAGAATAATGATTCACAGACGTAAACGAGACAGACAGACACAAAGATAGAAAAAAGGTGAGTACTGTGGACTTAGTCGAATATGAAATGCGGTGGGGTCTTGGTAGTTTGAAGTCAGAAGTCAACTGCCGATTAATAGACTTTTTTGTCGTATGAGTATACGTTGCCCAGGGTGCACCACGTGGAGGTAAGTCTATCGCATACCACTGATTCCAAATTAAATTGTCAAATACGTGCTTATTCGCGTAACTACTGTCAATCATATCCAATCGGTAACGTCTGCAAAAAAGCAGATACCATAAACTTTCTAACATCTGTACGTATTTCAAAGCTTAAATTC